ACTATAGACTTAGTATTTTGATTTCACAAACATCTAATTTGAACCAGTGTTGCATTCAACATACCACGTGACATACAAAAATCAATGTCTATCTGTGTTTTTTAATATTTACTTTTAAATTAAGAAATTGAGTAATGTATAGTTCTAAAATTTGAATTATAATCTATAGTTTGATGCCAAACTTATTGACATAAATTCATGAAATAGTAGTTCAATAAAATTTTGAATGAGAGTGGACAAACGGAATGACGTGGCCTTTCACCCATGACCCATCTCGAAAGGGCTACAATATATTATTTTGCTGATTCAAAACAAGTGAAACATTTAAATGGATTTTTTTTAGTTATTAAGCATTATTACTACTAACTTTGATCATTTTGGGAAAGACATTTCTTTGTTTGTTAAAATGAACTGTTTTATATATAAAGTAAGCCTTTTAAAAAGGGTTGATTATTTTGAAGTAAAATAGTATTTAAATATTGTTTTTAGACTAATGCCAGAAATACAGTTGTGATTATTAAAACTTGAATGTTACATCTTGTTGTATGATTGCTACACATAGAATAGATGAGAAAGTATCATTTCAAGACTTCTTGTGTATGTTTGTATTTTGGGCTAGATCTATGAGCTATGTGTGTTAGAAACAAAACCTGGATCAGCAGTGTCAATTATTGAGTGTGACATGAATGTAAGTGGTACCTTCTTTGAACTAATTTTGTATAAAAAATATATTATTATAATTGTGACATTACGTTTTTAATACTGTCTCATTTGTGTTAAGTTAAATGTAAGTTTTGCCATGTCTCTCTTTCTCAATAAAAATTATAGGATCACTTCAATAGTAGTAGTATTTTTTATGTAATCCTAGAATTATCGATAGGTGTTCATATAATACTCATCTGATTTTCATACACATTTTTCTAAATTATTTATGCACTGAATTGTATTGGGGCCTAAAGCTTGTTGATTACAGGGCCCCTAGTGACATACTATCACATTAAAAAATTAAACAAAATTACAATTGTTGCCAATTAATCTCACTAATTACTGCTGGAGTCAACTTGTGTCTTTTATATGAAAATCAGTGATTTCACCTAATGTTTTTTGTCAGTTTTCTGTATTAAGTTTTATAATGAGCAGAAACATGAAACTACTTAACATATAGTAATATGTGGACCCCCCCGGTAGTGAAGATGGTAATTTGATGATTAATATAATACCACAAAACAATGTATACCTTATGAAGAATTTTTCAGATAAAGTGAAAATGCAACTTTTTTTTCTTTTAAAAAAGTAGTACAGTTTAGTTAGATAATGAGAGAAAAAAAAAGTGTTATATTTGTTTATATTTGTTCATAATTTAACACTTGTATACTAAGAAATATACCCTCTATTTAGGTAGAGTTTGCTGCTCCAGTTGGATACAAAGAACCTGAGAGAAAGCAATCAAACCAAACCTCTTCACAAGAAGTAAACCATTTCTTAATATTTATTACTCTTATATATACAGAAATGCTCTCATTTACGTCAGGGATGTGTTCCTAGAAAATACAATGTTAGGCGGATCGACGTAAATTGGCGTACATTTAGACTATGATCTAACTTAAAAGTGATTACCTTTTGGAGAATCACAGGGAAATCACGAAAAAAAATTCCATTGTGTTAACATGGGGACCTATTTTTCACACTATTTTTTGCTCTATAACTCAGAAAAAAATGATAAGATTTTGATGAAACAGGATGGACATATGTAGAATATTATTCCTCATTGTCCTGCCAAAAATGGTTTGTGTTCTTTAATATTGATGGACATACAAACATATGTTTTGGGAGCCAAATATGTTCAATGCTGCATGGTGGAGGTATGTGCTCTACTGAGTGCTCTTCTAGTTTACTCTTGCTCTTTAGTGTTGGTTCAGTCTTACCTCAGACACAGAACTTGAGTATAATTTGTAGATTGTCATTAATGTATTGTACGGTTAGGTACAACATGTTAAAGGATTACATTTTGCTCTGGTGTGTTTTGTAAAAGTGTGTGTGTATTACTTTCTGATTGTGTTTACTGATATAACTTGTTGTCACTGTTGTCTCCAAGGTAAGTGTCTTGTTAACATAGCTGTATTTTTTGTTTATTTCTTACATTTTTAGCTGTGTTTCACTGAAACGTGGACAGTTTAATATCTTATAACTAAGCACAAAGAAGGACTTTTCAGAACCATTTCATGGTGTTCCTCTTGTTGGAAAATCCTTAAGAAAACCGATTTTCTTTTTAGAGTGAACGAAGTCTTGGGAATTTTAATTTTGATCACCAATGCTAGAAAGTTTTTATAATGAAAATGTTATGGCTTAAGACTTTTTTTTATTTCTTTGATCAGGTATTTGTTGATGTTGGTATTTTGTTTCAGGAAGTTAAAGAAAAACAAATAAAGTTCATACTGAAACTTGCCAGAAGTATCTTGGAGAGCAAAATAAGTTTTAAGTCCAAGTAAAATTATGACCATATGCAAACTGACCAGTGCAGGGTTTTGAAAAAAAATCATTAAAATTTAGCCCTAAGTGTATTGAAATGTACATATATTTCTCAAATGACCATTTAACTTATTCTGATTTTATAAACATAGTAAGGACATTTTTGTTCCTTCGAGTGAATATTTCAAGTTCTAACAAGGTTCTTCCAAGTTGGTTTGTTCCTCACTTTGCAATTAACTCTTTTCAAGTCATTACACTCCAAACATTGAGGTTCACCTAGTTTGGCCATTGGAAAGTTTTATGCATGTCATAAATATATCCCTGAAAGAGACAGTTGCTTGCTTAAATAAACAACAACAAACTATTCTTAAAACATTGAAATCTAGAAAAAATTCCATAATGTCTCAAAATTCATGCGACTTCTGTGAGCTTGTACTCAAGATGTATTGTGAAGTGCAGGAGTTAATATTACTTATGAACAAGAACATTTAGAGTGGTTATGTGAGCTTAATACTGAAGCGTGCAGTGTGAATTACTATTGACCTTTCTTTTTGGTGGTGATGGGAAATAAGTTCTTAAAACTACCACTAGGATATACAAGAGAGGTATTTAAATATGTTTTGCTTTTCATCGAAGAACAATTTTATTTTAGTCTTTAGCTTTACAATTGAGAGACAAAACTATAAACTGTAAGAATTAAGTTTGTCTTCAAACTAGAATTTTTATTTCCATATCAAGCATCCTATTTATCTTACAAATATGAAAACTTGTAAACCAAGAAGAAAAATATGAAACCTAATGTATGTTTAAAAGTAGCACTGTGTTAATTTTGCTATGATGGAAACTGCATGGATTTGTTTTTGACATGTTAACTGTCAAAGAAGTGACATAGCTACGGATTGGAATAATTGTATACCTATTATGTTTAAGAGTTTTGGAAAATAAACGTCAATGAAAATTTTATATACATTTCTATCTCTCACTCTCAGGAAATGAATTTTGACATCAACAACTTACAAGTGGATAATCCAGAATTTGTGGTAAGTTAACTGTACATTCCATTAATTTATGATCTAAAAGATTGGATGGTATGTTATTTCTAGAAGTGATTGTATTATTAGTCAAGGTATTATGTTGTATATGGCATAGCCAATGTGTGACCAAAACATACACTTTTGAAAGAAAGCATGAAATTTTGCCCTCTGCTGATTTCATATCTGAAGGAAGTCAAATGATCTGACCAATCCTTCTTCAAACATTTGAGAGCAAGATACTTCCTAATACAGTTTATTTATTTACTAGCTGGATGGAAGTTATGTAAATTCATGATTAATGAAAGGTTATCTTAGGATATAAAGCTGTTTCCCTTATATGTAATTGTAAAAAATACAAAAATGCCCATAAAAACTTCAAGAAACAAAATGTGAAATGCAAATTTGCATTTTTTCTCCACATGGACCCAGCAAACATTCATGCCAAATTTATTGTAGATCCATGTACAGGGGATGAAGTAGTGCTAGGAATCGGCCATAAAAATGCAAAACTGAACATTTTTATGTACCTGCATGGACCTAATAAACCTCCATACCAATTTTGGTGAAGATCCATCCAATCCACACCCTGCGATGTAGGTACATGGACAGACAACAAACTATTATATTTATATAGATACATGAAGCACAGTATGTCATATGCCATTTTGCTGTGTTTTCTTCATTGTTTTCTTACAATCCACTTTCATTATCTGATGTTGAAAGATTTATGCTCGTGGACAGAGCATTTATTTAGTGTAATTCAATGAGATTCTGAGATAAATCTCTCGTATTATTAGGGCCAAGCTTAGCTTTTATTTCTAGTTGGATCTATCAGGATTGACTTGTATCCTCTTCTGTAGAGCTGGATGATTAGTAGAAATTAATTAATTGTCAATTTCGTTAATGGTCATTTTACTGCTAGATATAAAGATAAAATAGCATTAACACAATCAATGCAGGCTCGGTCAATTTGACCGACCATGTGAAGTTTTTGTACTCTTTAGATTTAATACTTATAACTCTCAATATAATGTATATATCTTAACAAAATTTGGCAGTCTTTCTGTTAACATTACAAGTCTTTCACATACAAAAAATCATATTTTAGGGAAGTATTTTTAATAAAATAAAGATTTGTCCATGAATATATTGAGTATTTGTTTTGAGTAGTCCGTGTGCAAAGTAATTTTATTGTTAAAATTAAAGATAC